CCAGGGGGACCGCATACCCTGAAAAAAAAAAAAAAAAACAAGATAAATGTTCTTCTTTTGGCTGCTCCCTTCGGGGGTCGCCCAAGCTCCATCTTACCCAATCCCATACTTCTTGAAATGCAACACCAACATTTTAAACAGGACGAATACCAGGAAGAAACCAGGCCAAGTGTATTAGAAAGAATATGTCATTAAAAATGGGTGAAGAAATAAAAAAGTTTAAGTGTTCGTACTTGCTCCAGGGGTATATGGTTGGGGGCGACCCCCTCGGCTCCACTCCGTTTCTTCGGTCCCTGTCCTGTGCTCCCAGCATGCTCTGAGGCAGGAGCCAGGTTGCGTTTAGAGCGGTGCAGGAAGCGGGCCACCAGAACTCGTGTCACCTTAGGAAGAAATGAAGAAAGACTAGTGTGAGTGAGGCTGACACAGGACAGACACTTCTGACAGTTATCATAAAAGCCGTTCATGTCGTGGAACGTTGTCCTGCCTTCAGGTCTCCCAGGGAGCGGTGACACTCTTTGGGCAAACGTAGTGAGTTTGTGGGCGGAGGTTTGAGAGGGATCTGCAGAGATCGAGTGGCGGATTTGATGCTGCCTTTAACTGGCAACGCTGCAGCAGGAGGTGAAGAAGAGCGAGGCAAGAGACAGGCCTCGGAGGACGGACCTGAGGAGACAGACAAGACACAGAGAGAAAAAAAGGAGAAAACTTTAATGACTTTAAAGTTGGTCTGTAGGAGATGAATATATGATGAGATTAAAAAAATACACAAGGTTTTCTTCCTTAATAAACAGAATAGAATAACACATAAAAAACTATTTTCGTGGTGGAGTAAAACAGAACCAATAAAGTTACTTGTGTTTCCTGTAGTTCATGTTTTCTTTTCTTAGATAAACCTGAGAAGAACCACCTGACAATGATCCAGTCATTCACCAATCAGATAGCATCGTCCGTATATCAGTCTCCATATTTTCCCACAGTCTAATTTGATTAATTAACAATGTAACGTCACCACTGTCAGTTTACATTTGGAAGGCTCTAATAACTCCAACATCTACACAGGGTCTCATTTGCACGTTCCCCTCTGTTTAATAGATCTTGACAAACGACAGTCATTAGCTGCTGAAATGTGGCTCACAGTTAACGGCCGTGACGTGTTTTCTTTTTGTGCGTTGATCACTGAGACGATCCATTAATCACAGTCAGCACAGAGTCTTCTGAGTGGCATTACAGTAACAAATGTAAATCAAACTTCGTTAAAAATCACCTCAACGTCCCGTTCACTCTCACCTGTATCCATGGACACCTTGCTGCCTGCAGAGTCTTCCAGGGTGGGTCCTCCGAATTCAACTGGAGATAAACAACAGGAACAACAGAACATTTTTAATAGGTCGCCATTTTTTAATAGGTCGCCCAATATCATCGGCCCGATGTTAGCATATTTATGTACTTATGTATCATCTGTAAGAATCGTTATCGGGATTTCCTCCGATAATGAAAACACCGTAACGCAATCCCTGGGTTTGGCCAAATGATGTGTGCCCTAAAAATTGTTTTGGAGAAAAAAGGCTGTATATTAGAGTGAAAGCCACTAGATGGCAGCATTGCAGCTTATTTTATTCATCTATTTTAATACTCAAAATGCTATCGGAATCGGAATTTAAGTGTTTGGATAATATCGGCATGAGACCAAAACGTTAATATCGTACATCCCTAATTTTTACTGAAACTGTAACATTTTCAGGTCCGTGTTCGTTTAGATTATTTCCGTTTGACTCACCTGTGTCCGTGGAGGAGCTCAGGCCCGGCTCACTGTGTGACCTCATGAAGCGCGGCAGTCCCTCGGTGTTCCTTCCCACAACCTCTCCGTCCTTCTCACCTCTGCCGGCTCTTTTCCGGAGGGCAGTCAAAACCTGACCTTTGGACTGTGCACTGGCAACGGTGGCAGAGGGGGCAGCAGAGGTCGCAGCACCTCCTTGGGCAGGACAAACTCTAATTTCTGGGATGCAGTACTGCTGGTGGCAGCCGGAGCCTCTTATCGTTTCCAGTTGGGAGCAGCTACTGGCCAGCATTGCCTGGCGACGCAGAACTGGAGACCTGGAGGTCAACACGATTTACAAATATTCTTTTTAAGTTTTAGTCTGAGCAGACGCAGACAGTGGAAGGTACGAATGACTCTTTTTTTCACCTGTATGTTGTGGTGGCCGTGCTGGGGGAGGAGCAGGAGTTGGACCTCTCCCCTCTGAGGAACTGTCTGACCCTGGGTCCTCCCGCCAGAGGACTCTCTGGTGTTTGAGACAGTGGACCACGAAAACCAACGTGTTCCCTCTCATCTCTGGCATCTCCTTCACTGCTGGTCCTGTTTCCCCTCGCCCCCCGCCGTAGGCCGACCTCCATTAGACACGAGTCCTCTGATGGGGACGAATCGTCAGGGATGTCCACGATCTCGGACATCAGCAGAGATCCACTGTCCATGGACACTGGAATAAACAAAGAGCATACTTGAATATACATATACTGGCCGGTACACATATATATACCTATATAACACCACCTACAGGCCTAAAGAAGTAACAAATGTAAAGACTCAGTATCGTCGAGTACCTGAGTGAAATAAAAAATGACATAAATATTTGAAAAAAGTTTGGTTTTCCTTCACCTTCTCCGCTGAAGGCCGTAGAAGTTCCTCTCTCTCCTGACAACTCGGTGGCTTGGGGATCGAACATTGTTCCCTGCACAGTGATAAACAGACACGTCAGTAGGACGGACACAGACAGAGACAGAGACACAGACAGAGACACAGACAGAGACACAGACAGAGGTGAGGGATTTACCTGACTGGCAACTCTCTGTCCCATCACAGCTTCGTACGGAGGGGGGCAGTCGGTGGGGTACAGGGGGACGGGACTCTCCATGGAGCCGTTGTAGGTGATGCTGGGTGTCAACAGAAAGTAATCAACCACAAGGATCCACTAACGGACCAGACTAACGACTCACTGATCCAGCAGCACTGACTCTGACGGCTCTGTTACCTCTGTGCGTCCGTCTCAGAGCTGCAGGTGTACTCAGGGGGGTAGTAGGGCGGCGGAGGGATGGGGGGGACAAACTCCTCAAAGTCCATGATGTTGGTCAGAAATGCGTCCTGAGGAGTGGTGCATTCTGGGTTGACTGAGCGAGAGCGATGGGGAGCCAGCTGAACAGGAAGTTGGTGACACAGCAGAAAAAAAAACCAATTTGTTTAATATTCATCTGAAAACTTTATAGGTATATGTTTGATCAGGGGTGTCAAACATACGGCCCACGGGCCAAAACCGGCCCACTAGGTTGTTCCATCCGGCTGACTTGATAAATTTTAAAAATAATAATAATAAATAATATATTATATATATATATAAAATAATAAATATCTAATATACTTGTATTTCTTTGCATGAAAAACAAAGGGGAAAACATGGATTTATTCGTATTTAGAGTTAATTATTTTATGATTCTACTGGTATCGTATTCATGAATGCATCTTATTTTTCTTTTCTTTTTGTTTGCCATCATTACTTCATCTGTACCCTTTATATAATACTCGACACTAAAGTATTTAGCCCAAGTACACAGACAGCCCTAAGTACCAAAGAGCATCTGACTTCGTTTCCTCTCAAACGTAAAGTGTACCGTGTCTGTCCTCACCAGGTGGACCAGGTCCAGAGAGAATATATGAATACTGCAGGTCACCGTGGACAGCGTACAGATGATGGTGGACAGGATGCTGAGACCACAGGCACTGAACAAAAGGTCCTGGGGAGACAAAGTCAAAACCCAACGAAACCATACAGTTACGGTCTGACGGCAGATTTAACACACGTTCACTTTCTTTGACCGTCGCCTCCTCCTTACCTTCAGTTGATGCCTGACCGAGTGGCAGTCAGCATTCAGGTACAGGACCAGGGTGTCCTCCTCAGTGATGGAGCAGGAGTGGTTGGGCACACAGCACACGCACAGACCGCTCTCCACCTGCACACATTTGTGAAGCAGTGACTGAAAACACACCCACCTGCGACACCTGTAACGCAGCAGACGTGACTGGTCCGAGGTTGTCTACCTGGCAGGTCAGCATGGACTTCACCATCTGTGCGTTCTGACAGGAGAGCATCGAGCCGGCCAGACTGAGGATGACGCAAACCGCAGACAGCAGCATGAAGAGCGACACCTGTGGACGGGTTCCCGCTCACTGTTAATGTGGCTCAGAATGCTAATGCTAACACGCAGACAGCATGGTTACATTTTGTTGCTCTTTACCTGTGACATGATGTGATGAGGTTGAAGTCAGAAAGTTTGCCCACGCCTGATATAGTACTAGCTTCAACTCTCTGAACTTTCAGGAATTACTTAATCCTTGGCATAGATTCTAAAAACCATGATGGTGCAATAGGCTTTAACAGACACTTTGCAGTTCCAGCAGAACTGTCGGCCGCACATTTAAAATGCCATTCTGCTGTTTCACCAAATCACAAAAATGCCCCCTTTTTATTCTGTTGAGTTATTGTGACTTTGGATGTCATTTATTCCCAGCAAATGTATTAAAGAAAGCAGCTTCAGCTGACTTGAGATCAGTTAAGTTGAGTGTAGTCAATGATGTGGGTAGAGACAGCGTTTAAGAAGAGATGTATATGGTCAGCAGCAATACTCAGGGAGGCTTTTTAAACCTTTTAAACAAGGGACAGTGAATAAATTACCAACTGTTGTTTACCTCACCGTCAGAACCTGTCGTTCAAGGATTGCGGCAAAAATCAAGACTCTTGGGAACAGGAATGTTTTTTTAAACTTTTCTTTTCTGTACAATTTAGCTCGACTAGACTTTTAAGAAGAACAAACGAAGGATAGACAGGATTAGGACAATGTGCTTCAAGGGTTGGTTTGTCATTATGACCTGTTTGTGATCAGTAGTTCTTGGAGTTACTGTACTAATGTCATTATTTCATTTTTAAAATGTTATTTTAAAACCAACTCAACTACAACTAACAACCACACCATGTTCAAGGTCACCTCAAGAGGATGTATGGGTTTTTGTTTTAAACTTAGTTTTTGAGCACTGAGCGGGTGCTTTCTCCTTCTCTGGCCTGCAGGTGGTGGTAAGTACACTTTTGTTAGCTCTGTACAAACGTAATAGTGCAATATTTAAAACAAATCTCATGTAAACTCGCTCCAAAGGGGGGAAATAGCATGTTAGCATCGTTAGTGCTAACATGATAGCGTGATATAACATGGTAGCACTGCGCTAGCACAAAGTATTTTGTTTTGATAGTCCGTCTTTAGTAAGGCTAAGCTAATCCTGCTAACCCCGGTAGCATTTCTTCTTCTGTGGTTTCCCGACGGATTTTAATGTTTTGAGTTGCATTAGTGCCACCTACAGGTAGAAATATTACTATTGCCTTAGAATTTAATACTTTTAAAAGACAATTTTAGTTTTAAATAATTAAATTGATTATTTTGTAAGGGTATAATACTGGGTACTGAAGCTGTGGAAGTTATATTTCAAATCAGATTTTTGTATTGACTTGAGCAAGTTGTACATACATATACAGCAGATCTTTAAGAAGAAGTGACGAGTGAATTAAGGTAAACTACACGGAGCGGTGACAACTAGTGGTTTAGTTCATAAACTTATAAATCAGTGGACGCTTTATTTAATTTTTCACCAGGCAACAACAACAGACACAGAGATGAAAGTGTGTTTCCAATGAGCAGGAGCGGCGGCGGAGATTTATCACATTATTACAGGAGTGATAAGCAAATAGGAAACAACGGACTGAACGGACTATAAATATGAATTTGAAATATTGTTCGTCCACCGACATATGACAGCGAGTGTTTGGATTCTCTCCTGGTTCTAAGTGCTCTTCAGGGGTGGGTGAGACACGGTTAGATCATTGTTAAATGGTTTCTGTGGTTAGGTAGTGCTGTGTGACGGAGCAAAATAACAAATACGTTTTACTTACGATGTTATGTTAAATTTCATAGAAAGGAATATTTTTAATATTTTTGCTAATCTGATAGAAATGATCAGTTAGCTAAAGAAAGAAAAACCTCCTCAGCATAAAACACCAGAATGTGAATTTTCCAAACAAAGACAGTAAAATAAATATATATACATACCACAAGTGTCAAAGGTCTCTTCCAGGAGATGATTCCAACTATACCTGATGCCACCACCTAGTAAACAGAGTACACACATAAGAAAACACACACTCACTAATGTTTGTTTGGATTAATGTTTTCACTGTTAGACTCACAAAAAATCCAGCCCAGAACGGACAGGACTGCCTCACACGAGCCGAGGAGGTGAAGGCCATGCTGGTGAAGGAGAACGCCAGCACCATGGCCCCCAGGCCCAGGTGACACAGCCCGAGGTAAAGGAGCAGCCGTGCACCTCCAGGACCCCGGCCCGACATGCCCCGACGGCTGTCGGACCAACCTCGAGACCCCGAAGCCGAAGCCACGCTGCTGGAGTCTGACGGCGAAGGCATGGTGGGCTCATCCGTCAGCAAAGGATGCTGGGAGACAGTTAGCTCTCACTCTGGTGATGTTCTACAGCACAGGTCAGTCGTGTGTACGTCTGAGGATCGTTATGCACCAAACTCCCCACTGGCAGGTGCCATAGGTGCTGCGCAACGCCTCCTGGTGTTCACTAGAGTCCAGTCAGTGAGGCCAAGAACTTTGTCAGCAGAAAGTTGACAAATGAGCAGCCACTACACACTCAGAGCTGCCTTACTCGCAGCTTTGACATTTCAGACGTTGTGCTGAGGTCACGGTGTTTCATTTGAACCGACTGTCTATTTAATCCGCTGCTTTTTATCTCCGTCCACACACGAAAACCGCACAGAGCTGTTGTTATTCTGCTGTACTCGTGTGTTTCGGACGCTTCCTTCGGTCCGTCTTTTGCCTTCCTCCTCCTCCTTTACCTCCTCTCGCCACTGGCATTGCAGTAACTGGAGATGCGAGCAGGCCGCGAGATGAGAGACATCCCGGAGAAAAGCCGCGGACCGCTCCTGGATTTGATCCCTTTAGCAGCGACGAGGACAGGAACCGCCGACCGTCCGATCGTCCACATTTAGCCCGCGAGCCAAACCCCGGCGTGAGCCCCCTCTATCCTCTTCCTCCGCCCCTGCGTGACCTTACGTTAGGTCCTCATCCTGTCACCGAGCACGAAACGCAGGCATGGAGATTCAAACCCCCCGAGATCACATCGGCCGGTGTCGTGGAAGTCAGACTAATTACCTCGACACGGACAGGAAATAAATATCTCACATCGATTTTCAAAATGCACCAAAAATAGCAGGCCGCCAGGAATGGAATCTGCTCTCCGCAGGTTTCGATCGTTAGCGAGTCCACCTCAGGGGTTTAGTGGTGGTCCGCACACGCGCATCTAGACCCCCACCTCCTCCTCCTGCTGCTGCTCCAGCACTAACAGCATCCTCCTCCTCCTCCTCCTCCTCCTCCCTCTTCTCCTCGTTCCTCCCAGCAGTCACGCGTTCCTGCCGCTCATCAGCCCGTCCGGCACCTTGTACCTCTCGGCCTCGTGGGGCACGTCACGCGAACAAAACAACGTAGAGTCCAGCGCCCCGTGGGCCGAGGTCAAACGTTGAAATCCTCACAGCTTCGTCATTACAGGTTCTCCTCTTCCTCCTCTCGCCCCTCCCTCCCTCTGCTGCTCCCTGATCCTCAGCGAACCCCTGACACTGACACACAGCAGTGTGTTTGCAAACCGAAACCTGCCCTGCGTGATGACAAAGCACGCTGACGTCGCGCGGGCAGCTGGGAAGAAGATGCGGCAGAGCGGTGCTGATGCTGGAGAGGAGGGGCGGGCGCCTGGCGACCGAGTCCTGCTACTGCTGCTGCAGCACTTCAAGAAACAAGAAAACACTGAGAGCTGCTCAAAGGAGAAGGCCAGGAAAATGTGCCCCGCACAGAGGCGACACACCTGGTCAGTGTGGTGCCCTGGGCCTGGTGTATCTGCACTGGTCTGAGGTCCAGTTCTTTTCAAATGTTCATTTTGTTTTTGGAAAAGACAAAAAAATAACTTTTTTCAAAGCTTCAAAAGTCCAGGAATTTTTTCATCCAGGTTTGGTTTAAAATCTGACCTTTGTTGGAGCACACAGCCATTAGTGGGGGCATTTACCAGAGCCCCCTGCTGGTAGAGGGGACACTCTATATTTTATAAAGTCGTAAATATGACATTTACTTAATTTATTTTTACTCTGTGTATTTTAAACTAAGCAAATACAGAAGATTGTTTTGCTTTAATTCAGCATCTGCATCAGCAGAGACAGTGATGGGAACACATGATCTGTTGTATAAGGCATTGTTTCCCAAAGACTGGGTCGCAAACCTCAGGTGGGTCACAAGAGTTTTTTGGGTTTTTTTTGGTCGTCTTGCATCATGTTTCCCAGGAGTTTATGAATAATGTCTATTGATTTGAGTCGCAGAAGTTTGTGACTTTTAAAATATGGGTCACAACACTGGTCCGAGGCGTGACTAGCGTGTACAGTAACAGTGTTTATTAAGAAAAACAACAGACATTTCAGACAAAAGATCACATCCATTAAATCAGTTCAAAACTCTGGACGAGACAGCAGTGAAGCCTTTCCTCGATCTCACCTCCTCTTTACTCACTCACTTCATTCATCTTTTTTTATCATCATCCTCATCATCATCATCCTCATCATCATCATCATCATCATCATCATCATCATCATCATCATCATCATCATCATCATCATCATCATCATCATCATCATCATCATCATCATCATCATCATCATCATCATCATCATCATCATCATCATCATCATCATCATCATCATCATCATCATCATCATCATCATCATCATCATCATCATCATCATCATCATCATCATCATCATCATCATCATCATC